TTTGTAGGCAGGCTTTACAGAAACCTTGTGACTTTTAGCCTTTAGAAAAAGAATTTTTTTTTCCATACAAGGAATCTGTCTTGTATCCTGAGACACTACATAATCCAGGCTGGCCTGGAACTCCCATTTTTTGGCTTCCACTACCCAAGTGGTGAGAATACAGGTGTGTACCACTGCAATGGTCAAGAAAATGTCAATTTGAGTGTGAGAAAAAAAGAGCAATGGTTAGGTTTTGTTGGTAAAATTATTTCTCAGAGGAGCATGATAAGGAAGTATTCAAGAAAATTCTCCAAATACTTTCAATTTCTTTAGTATTTTGGTCTTTCATTCTTAGTATTAACTAGTCACTGGTAGACTCTAGAGTCTGATCTTCCAAGTAATCGCACATAGAATGCCACTGCTTTGGTTTGTTATATTAATTTATCACATGCACAAATAATACTTTTATATTTATAAAATAAATGTACATAACTGAGTTTAAAAAAAAGTATTGGGTACTATTTTAAAATGTGATTCAAAGAACAGAGAGAAATGGCTAAATCTATTGAGTTATTCCTGTCTGGTGTTTAAAATAATCCTGCTTTAAGGTCTAGCTACCACATCCAGGAATTAAAAGCTGATATTTTAGAAACCCCAAATAGTAAGCTTGAGATCAGGAACACTCATCCCTCAGACCTCCCCAGAGACATGAATAATGGCAGCTTTCCGAATAACCATTCTACACTTCTTACTTAAACTGTGGGCCAAGGACAGAGGCCTGACAGGGTTTACAGATAAAAGTCTCTGGATTCCTAACTCAGAGCACAGCCCTCATGCTAAAACAGGAAAGGGTAACTGAGAAAGGAAACTGAGCCAGTTTCCTGACCTGTGCACCAGGTCAAGGAATCACAATTAAGCTAAGTTCAAACTGACACACGTTATTGAAAACATACCTGGCTCTACATCAAAGCACAAGCGATTGGCCCAGAAAGTGCAGCAGAGCCTACCTGCTCCACTCCCAGTAGCTGCCCCGGGAAGGGCTGTGCCTCTCCACCCTACACAAGGCCATGAGGCGGGATGCTGCAGAGGATTAGTGGGCATACAAAGAGGGTCAAGGAAATGCAATTTTTTTGGCTCAGAGACTTAGAGGGGTTATTTTGTATTTTCATTTTTTTCATACTTTGCAAATGTTCATAGTTTGCAAATGGCTTGTCTTAAGGTAGAACCCAAACCCTTGGCAAAGCAATAGCTCAGACTGACTTTTCCTGGACTATTCTTGTTCCCACTCTCCTAAGCAACATTTCACACACTTATCTTTAATTCCTACAGATTTCCAGCATCCTCTCCATTCTCGGCTCTTCACCAGGAATGTACAATCTCACAGCCCCCATGCCAACTTTAGCTACCCATCTGCCTTTACCCCTATGCATTCTGGAATCTAAGCATCTCAAACTCAGATTGTTGTCTTTACTCACTGCCTTACCCCACCCCCCCACTACCCAAAACACTGTCTTGCAAACCAGTACATAGTACGTATTTAAATCAGGTAAATAGCCTTGCTCAACCTTTTGCATCAAAGCTTGACTTACAGTCCAGTTAACTACTTCAGTCCTCCTCTGGTCAATGTTGGGTTCTTCACCCACCATACCTGTAGCCTATTCAACTAATCAACCTGATGGTTCTCTGTGCTCGACTTACTTGAACAGCACTTGAATGAGATGCTGCGCTCTTCTCAGAACCTTTCTATTAGAAATAAATAGGGGACCACTTTTTGGGTTATCTGAGGAATGAGAAGGCACTTCTGCTGCTTCCTATTTCCAAGGTCAGACTAGCTCCCAGTCAACTCCTTCCTCTTCTGAAATAACTTGGCCACTCCTCACCCTGTGGATCCCTGAACAGCATCAGCACCAGCAAGCCTTGATTACAGTGCAGACTCTCAGCTCCTACAAGCAATCTACTGATCAGATTCTGCACTGTAACAAGTGGAGGTGATGCAGACACTTGAGAAACACTAACTCAACCACACTGACTCTCCAAATGCTTACCCCATCTCTTCCCAGAGCCTATCAAACTCAGGACTCCGCACTGGGTTGCCCTAGAAATTTGTGAGTCATTTCACACCCAAGTACAAACCTCTCTTCCAGAACCACTTGGTTGCCATCCCAAATATGCGGAGCCTCCGTCCTCACCCCCAGACCAGAGATCTAAGAGTTACCCTTGTTATCACATTGCTTGCCAATCCCTAGGTCAAATCAAATTAACTGGGCCTTTTAAAACAAAAATCTCAGTGGTTAACAATATTTCCTGTTCTTCCAGAGGACCTGACTTCAGTTCCCAGCATTCATGAGGCAGCTCAGTCTATAATCCAGCTCTGAGGACTGGATGTCCTCTTAGCTTTTCTGAGCACTGCACACACTTTAAAATCTTTAAAACATTTTTTTTTTAGATAGAGATACACCATTAGACAGCCTTTCCATAGCTAACCTCACAGACCTAAACTGCTAGTTGGGAGGCAAATACTTCTGAGTTTTCTAACTCCCCACCCCCACTTCTGTAAGGGGCCTACAGATTCTATTCTCAATGGCTAAACTCATCTTTAAATACAAATCAGACTGTGACTCAAAGTCTTTCAGTGCCTTCCCAACCTGTTCACCATGATTTCCAAAACCTTTATTCTCCAGCTCTTTCCTCAGTACTCTAATGCTGGTCAAGGTTATCCTACCTACCCCGCCACCACATACACTGTTGTGACATCTGACTACCTTAGAGGTCCTTCCTAACTCATTGGGTTTGATACATACTCACCCCTCTCATTTTCCACGTTTATTTTATTGTGCTTTATTTAACCTCGGAAACAGTTACTTAATGTTTTATACATCTGACTTTTCTGCTAGAATGTGTGTGGTCCTCAAGAGGGAATTTTTCTTTGCCTATCTCAACAGGGTAGAGTAGTCCCTGGAGCAGAGGTGCGCTCAACTACGAATGGTGGTAGCTTTAGAGCCACAAATGTCTGATGCTGAAATCTCCCCAAAGTTTTCGATACACTGAAAATTTCATAGGGCAGTGGTTTCAAAACTTTTCTATACATTAGAATGGGGACGTTTACAAAAGCCTAATGCTTAAGTCACATTCCAAATGAATTCTATCTCAATTGCTGGGGTTGGGGCTCATGTATCAATGCTTTCAAACTAAGGTAATTCCAACATGAGGTAAGTTTGGGAATCTCTGTCACAAAGTGTGAACTGAAAGAGTAGTTAAGTTCTCTATAGTCAGACCTCAAAGCTTTGGAGAGCTTTGTTCCTACTGACTACATCTTTTTTGTCTGTTTTTTGTTTTTTGTTTTTGAGACAGGGTTTCTCTGTGAAGCCCTGGCTGTTCTGGAACTCATTCTGTAGACCAGGCTGGCCTTGAACTCAGAAATCTGCCTGCTACTGCCTCCCAAGTGCCTGACTACATCATTAATGGCATCAGTTAAACAGTGATGTTCAAGAGGGAAATGGGTTTCTTTACAACTCAACAACGTTACAGTAAAAATAAATACCATACTACCTAATATTTCTTACTTAAGAAGTAAGATAATCAACTGGCCATAGTCACCAAGCAAAATACCCTGGGATGGAAATAAAATAATGTTCATTTACCCACCTCTAAGCTCACCCTTAAAACTGCTGTCATACCTCAGGATGGAGGACATTAATGAAAGAGAAAAGCAAGCCATTTCATTGTTAAAATCTTTCACCACAGTACAACACTGAAATTTCAAAAGACCCTTGAGGATGGTTAAGCCAACTCATTTTCCAGGTCAGTGACCCGCCATTCAGGTAAGGTGAAATGACAGGGCCTAAGTCACACAGAGAGCTTGAAGAGAAAAAAAAAAAATTTTTTTTTCCAAACAAGCAGACAGGATTTTTCACATGTTAATCAAAGAGAACCAAGATTATCAGATTAGAAAGAAATGATGAATAGGACAGATGTTGCACATAAGTTTAAAGGACTAGTCCATCTGCTGCCCTCCATAACCAAAAACTGCTCCAACACATGGTCACAGATCCACCAAGAGCTTAACCTTAAAATATCAAAGTCTTGGAAAATTCAATTTACAAATACATTATTAATCATATTGTTATAGTGAAATTAGTTCAATAAACATGAAAACATCAAACAGCACCAATATCAGAAGGTTAAGGTAAATATACTATTATTTAAAAATAATGTATAATTACTCATTGGGACAGAAATAAACTCTAGCCCCCAGAAAAAAACTATTTAAAATAACTGTTTGACAGAAAAGGCAATATTTAAAGACTAATATATGCCTTTATCCCACTGACAGGTCAGTGCCTAAACATCCCAGCAGTGGGTCACATGGAAAATATTAAGACACACCTTTAAATTCTTCAACCTTGAACCATGATGCTAAATATTCCAAATCTTGCCAGTATGAGGCAGTGGCAGCGTTTTTGGTATTTCTAACTAGTCTTATGTGTCCTGATCAAACCGAAACAAGTCCCTTATTAAGCACTAGATGAGGTGTGTCTGTTCTGAAGAAGCAGGGGCTTTTACAGACGCTACAATTGACAGGTATCAAAAGCTACCAAGGAACTATAGCAGCAAATACTCCAGTAAGAACACATTAGTCCACATGGGACCAGGGACTACTCTTCTCTCTCGTTTCTGGAATTTCTGGGAAACTAGAGATTGAACAAGTGTCTGTATACATGGAGGCAGTAAGAATCACTAAACAGGATAGTGTTCATGGTTGAAATTACCAGGATAATTTGACATAGAAATCCAACAATACATAAAATTCGTAAGCACACAGAACTAGAATAAAATGTTAGCAAAACTTTTTGGGTTTACCCCCAAACAGCATGGGAGTTCGAGGTGGGGTGGGATGGGCGTGGCTTGGGCAGCTGCTTGCAGTTCGTTCATACTCTCTGCCTGCTCCTTTCATCAGCTCCTCACAAGACTACCTGGCTGAAAATATTTGGTAATTCAGTGCAGAAAATTAAGGTCACAGACAAAGTACAACAACTTTTAATACACCATCAATACTAATGATTAAAAATTATTGCATAGTCTTATGCATTTACCCTAAAACATTTTCTCAAAGTAAACCAATTCTATAAAAGACAAAGAACCCTTTAAAACATGGATGGCCTTCACTACCTCGCTCGCCTCTCCTTTTTTGTCTTTTCGGTACTTTTGTCCATGGTTTTCTCATTGTCTCCCCTGCACTTGGGGCAATACCATTTCCCCTTTGGTTTATAGGTGAGTGAAACGCATGAAAAGTGAAACCATTCAATGGGACACTGTTCATTGTCACAGCCTATCATCTCCCCATAAGACACTTGGTTACATAAGCAGTAGGTGGGCTCGTTGGGATCTATGGCAAACTCGGCAGGTGACGCTTCCCTCTCCTGCTTGGCCTTGGAGCGCTTCTTCTTCTTAGCAGACTTGGATTTCTTTTCTTTCGGAGGCTGATCATCGCAGTCGTCAATCCCATTTGTCATGTGACATAAGTCACGGCTCTCACTGGTCCGCTGTCTTCGAGGTCTTCTAGAAGATCTTTCGGGTTGACTAGAATCCATCTTCGATTTGTCTGAGGCCCGCTCACTTTCAGCAGGATCTTGGAAACACTGGGAATGCAGCTCCATTTGTCTTGCTCGGTTTTCCACCAATTCGAGCATCTGTGTGACAATCTGAATTTTCTCATCTCCCAATTCTTGGCTATTGATTAACGCTCTCTGGAGATGCTGCTGTAGGCGTTTTTTCTGGTTTGAATCATCTTCTTTCTTATACCTTTCATAGACATCATCAATTTCCTTTAAAGTTTCTAAAAGGGGGGAAAAAGAAGAATATTAGGGCGTATTAGCACATACATTATTTTCAAGTTAGAATTAAAGCAGGAAAGTCTATTTATGTATACGCTGAACACATTATTTTCATACAAATGCTACATCATCCAATATGAAAGTATACTCGGGGGCAAATGGCATAACAGGAAAAGGAACTTGCTACCAGCCTGGCAATCTCAATGTTATCCTTGGGACCAACACTGTAAAAGTACAGAACTGACTCCTGCAAACTGTTCTCTGACCTCCATATATGCTCATATGCTCACACGCACATTAAGTAAAAATAATTTTTAAAAACGTCAAAGGTTGTTCTGGCTAATTTTTTGTCAACTTGACAGAAGCTAGAGTTATTGAGCAAGGGAAACTCTCAATTGAGGAAATGCCTCAAAACCCTAGCAGGTAGTTCTGAGATGCGAAAGAAAGCAAGCTTCTGGGAGCACGCCAGTAAGCAGCATGGTTTGTGCTCTGGTTCCTGCCTCCCAGTTTCTGCCTTGAGGTCCTGCCCTGACTTTCCCCAGACCTAGACTATGGCCTGAGTTGTAAGCTGAAATAAACTCCTTTCTCTCCAACAGAACCCTAAGACAAAGCTAGTTAGAAGTAGCTAACAAGGACAACAGAAACCTTAAGATCGTTCATCTGATTTTTAAAAAGTAAAGGGGAAACAGGGAAATGGCTTAGTCTCTAAAGTGATGCCACACAATCCTGAGGACCTAGGCTGATTCCCAGCACCCACATAAAAAGCGTTGTGGTTGTGTGCACCTGTAATCTCAGTGCTGGGGAACCCCAGGGGCTTGCTGCTCAGAGGTAGTCTAGCTTAAGTGAAAGATTTGTCTCAAAACAACAACAAAAACAAAACCCAAGGTAGAGAGCAATAGAGGAAGATATAAAATATCAATCTCTCACCTTCACAGAACACACACACACTGTAGCAAATTAACAATCAAAGTATTCAAGACTTGTATGACAAAGTAAGACAAAAGTATTACATAAGACACACTAATTTAGAATTTGCTGAGTTCCTTATTGCTGATTCTTTATTTGAACATCAAAACAACTCTATACACATAAAACCTGAGGTGGTCCTCAGACGCAGTCACAGATTGGTACCCATTTGTGTGTTTACAGAAATTACAGCCCAATCAGTGACTAGTTACGTGACTCCAGAGAGACACATTACCTTAATTTTCACATCCTACTCTTTTAAAAGGCAGATGTCAGCATTTCTCAGCTTCCTGACAACTTAGTTTTAAATGGCTCTTTTATTTTGGCATCACATGGGAAATTCTGAAAATCAAAACTATTTCCAGAGTAGATCTGCTGTTGCTGGCATCCAGTGACCAAGCCACTACAGAATTAAGTAACGTCAGCACTGGACCATTCTACCTTTGTATCTAACTCAGCAGTTGATTCAATGCTTACTGAAGCTGCTGATGCAACTGTATTAAAAGTTGGGCACTCTTAAATCAAGCAATTGCTGAGTCACCAGAATGTACAATTTCACAAGTCATCAAAGATCTCATTAAGTTTAGTTTTATTCAAATCTGTTCTATTTCTTATCCAGCTATGATACAATGCTACACGAAAGAGGTCTGTCTGAGGGTAAAAAAGTAAACAGCAGCAATTAGATTTCAACACTACCTTAGCACACCACTGCTTTACCTTCCAATGTTACTACTGCATCCCTCATCACTGCTATATTCCAATGACTACTACAAAGAGCAGAAACGTTAAGTACATAATGCTGGCTATCTGAAAGCAGGTGACAAAGTGAATAATTAGAACAACATTTATGGATTACCTTCTTCCTGGAAATTGCAGGTATTAACACTCGATGGACAATTTTGCCACCACAACAACAACAACAGCTGAGTTCTCTCTCTCTCTCTCTCTCTCTCTC